GGCCTGCGGCGTGGGAGAAGATGGACGTCTGGCTTCAAGCTTTTTGGGGTTCAGTGTCGCACAAGACAGCGGCGACTCCATTCGGACGCCACGTCGTGGGCATATGGAAGGCCCCTTGGCCCGGGGTCGCTCGATGGATAGTTTCGGTGCGCTTTCGGCCCTCCTCGGTGCTCGGCGCTCCTCCATTCCTCCCTCTCCTCCTCCTCTTCCTTCTCCTTCTCTTCCTCCCCCTCCTCCTCCCCCCTCCTCCTCGTCCTCCTCCTCCTCCTCCTCCTCCCTCTCCTCCTCCTCCTCCTCCTCCTCCTCCTCCTCCTCCTCCTCCTCCTCCTCCTCCTCCTCCTCCTCCCTCCTCCCCTTCTCCTCCTTCTCCTCCCCCTCTCCTCCTCCTCCTCCTCCTCCTCCTCCTCCTCCTCCTCCTCCTCCCTCCTCCTCCTCCTCCTCCTCCTCCTCCCCCTCCCCCTCCTCCTCCTCCTCCTCCTCCTCCTCGCCTTCCTCCCCCTCCTCCTCAACCTCCTCTCCTTACTAGATTTTGTTATCCTCATCACGCCCTTGGCCCTGCTCTGGAGATCAACGTGCTTGGGGTTTCCCATGCCTGGGGCTGAGGGTGGAGCGGTGCGTGCGGCGTGGGCTCGGCACCGCGCCGAGGGCTGCTTGAACCTCGGTCGAAGTGCGGCGTGACTGCTCGCGTTTGCTGCCTCCTCCTCTTTCTCCTCCTCCTCATCATCCTCTTCCTCCTCTTCCGCCTCCTCCTCTTTCTCGTCCTCCTTCGTGGCCTCCTCCTCCTTCTTCCTTCTTCGCGTCTTGGAGGGATGCCAAACAACGTGGGAACACCCTCAGAAGAATGAGACCACACACACACACACACACACACACACACGCGCACGCGCGCGCGCACGCGCACGCGCGCGCGCACGCACGCACGCACGCACGCATGCACGCACGCACGCGCACACACGAACACGAACACGAACACGAACACGAACACACATACACGCACAGTTTCCGCCGCAGCGTGACAAGGCAATCCGCACGCGCGCTCTAGTAGTCTGGGGCCTGGCGTACTAATCGTCCGGCGGCACGACGGGGGGGAAGAAGGCGGGGGGTGCGGCCGCAGAAACCGGGCGGGGGGGAGTAGGGCACCCACCGCGCGAAGAGTTTCGGCAGGACTGGCCGGGGAGACCAGCCGTTGCCGAGGCGGTTTGGCAGTACACGCACAGACACGACCACACATACACATCAAAAACGAAACAACACTCAATGACATTTAATTGTTGAAGGCTGATGCCTTGGGAACACCATTGGGCAACAGGCAAGACTGCGCCCCCCCCATCGGACGTGTTCTTTCGGAAGGTTCTCCCTGGGATAATTTTAGTTGGTTAAGATTTTTGTTGTTTCCAACTGTTGCACTAAAGCTTCAGCCGCCAGTGTTTAGCGTCTTCATGTTCTTTTTGCTGTTCGCTGTGCTTTCTTGCTTGCCTCATTCTTTCGGTAGGTGTTCCCGAGTTCTGGCGTTCCTCTGGAAGAAGGCGGACTGGGCAGAGGGAGGAACAGGGAAGCAACGAAGGAGGAGGAGGCACGCGAAAGGGCTGCGCGGGACTGTGCGGAGAAGACGTCCACAGCGCCGTGAGCACAGCGGAGCCACGAGGCTTGCGGGCCTCTTTGCTCGAGGGGAGGCCCGCGCGCGGAGGAGAAGACGAGCATGAGGGAGGAGGGGGAGGAGGAGGAGGAGAAGGAGGAGGAGGAGAAGGAGGAGGAGGAGGAGGAGGAGGAGGCAGCAAGCGCGAGCAGGCACGCCACACCTCGACCGAAGCTCAAGCAGCCCGCGGCGCGAGGGCGCCGAACCCGCGCCGCCTGCACCGCTCCGCCCTCGGCCCCGGGCATGGGGAATCCCAGGCCAAGGTCGCAGGCCCACCGGGAGGAGGGGGAGGAGGTTGAGGAGGAGGGGGAGGAAGGGAAGGAGGAGGAGGAGGAGGAGGAGGAGGACGAGGAGGAGGAGGAGGAGGAGGAGGAGGAGGAGAAGGGGGAGGAGGAGGAGGAGGGGGCGCAGGCCCGCGAGAAAGAACGGAGCGCATTATTGTTTTTGGTTTCCCACCGCCAACAGAAGGAATATAGATGTACTTCGCCCACACAGCGGAACCGGTTGTCCCACGCAGAAGGATGCAGAGACGGAGGAGGAGGATGAGGAGAAGGAGGAGGAGAGAGAGGAAGAGGATAATGAGGCAGATGATGATGATGATGATGATGATGATGATGATGATGATGATGATGATGATGATGATGATGATGATGATGATGACAATGACGATGACGATGACGATGACGATGACGATGACGATGACGACAACGATGATGATGATGATGATCATGATCATGATGATGCTGATGATGATGATGATGATGATCATGATGATGATGTTGATTCTGAAGGCGGTGGTGATGATGAAGATGATGAAGATAAATATGGTGATGGCGATGGAGATTATGATGGTGATGGCGACGA